AGATGTGTATAATATATATATATATATATATATATATATGCCTTTATAATACCAATAATTGGTATATTTGAATTAATAGACGTTTGTGGCTCATATTTACATGAGTAAGTGAATTAGAGTAAATGATTTGTTAAACAAACCTTCTTTTTTTACAAAGGTTGAAATGAGGATTACGGAAAATGCGTTGGATTTAGATATACTTGTGAATGGAACAGTTATCAATAAAACAGCACTTGTTGAAGGTAAGTGACCCTGGGTTCTTTCGTTTGTGAATAAAGAGGACAAATTTGATTCATTTATAACTAGAAATAATGTATAACTACAATTATTATATGCTTTTTGTAGAACAATGACAGTATGTAAGAGTGTTCACATTTTTATTGCAGAAAAAAAATATTGCCAGGATCTAAACGAGGGCAATGGAGTTTTAACTAATAAAACCCAGTTAAACCATATGTATGTACGGACTAGCCTATGTTACATAGGGCCTATCATTTGTATATAAACTATAATATTTCATTGCCAGATTCATACACGAGTGATGAGGATATATCGTTTAGTGTTCAACTTGTCGACGGAGAGTTGGCTAGTGGTGGAGCCAGGTATTTGGCCTCTTGGTCAGATGGCGTATCTTTTTCAGTAGCTGTTTCCAGTGGAATGTTGAATATTGTTTTCCAGGCATCAGTGATTTACAAGGGCAAGGCTAGAGGACTCCTAGGTTTGTAGAAGAAAAAAAACAAACAATTAAATAATGTAATTGAATAAATCATTAATTATTAATAACAAAGATATTTTATAAAAAAGATTAAATATAATGAACTTATTTAAAAAGATGAATAACGTTATGAGTTATGAAAAATAATTAAAACATACAAATAAAAATAAAAAACAATATAAAAATGATATAACACATATCAATCTAAAGAAATGGATGAAAATACAGTAACAGTAACTTAAGTACTGAAAATGGAATATGGAGTTAAAAAAATGGTGGTAGAAAATAAAATCATGAAACAAAAACAAAACTAGAAAAAAAACCCCAAAAAAGTTACATCTAAACTATATTCTATGTAAAGGAAAATGATTTCAAGAACTACAGCAGCCATGCAATAAATTTAGGCCTATGTATATATTTGTTCACAATTACTGCAATTACTATCGTTATTATAACAGGAGTCTGGAATGATAATGTAACAGATGATTTTGTGGAAAGAGGTAAAGTCGAACCACTTACAAAAGCGGGTGATGTATACACTGGAGCAGAACTTTTCCAATTTGGAAATTCTTGTAAGTAGCAAAACAAATTATTCTTTATACATATCCAATAATAAACATGTGACATTATCAATAATGCATGTACCAGATATATCGCGCTCTTTTGATTATTTATTATATCACCATAATCATCATCATTATCATCATAATTAACATCATCATCATCATATCATCATAATCATCATCAACATCCATCATTTTAACATTATAATTAATAAGCAAGTAACTTGGGTCTGGACTGGTTATTCGGTGTAAACGCCAAGGATAACCCACGAAAGTCTGAGGAAGATAATATTTCGAGTGTGGTCCTTCTGGTGGTGACTGGGCAGTACACAGGGAGACAATTCCCTACTCTGTTTCAAAGAGTGTATTGTGTTCTCCACGGTTCAGCGCACACACAGTGGCTACCACCAGTTTAACCGACTAAGCAAAGTTGCTCTCTAATGCTCTTGGGTATGCAAGAGAACATTCTTGATTTACAATGACTCATGAACAATGATAGTTACAAGTATGTATGTAGGCTTTGGTAATAATCAATTAATAAATTGAAGTGATTTATTTAGATAAGGTGTTAAGAACAGCTAGGTTTGGAACACTCTTTATTTGTGCCTTTCTATTAATTAATCCTACATAATTATAAGAAAATTGCGTCTCACCTATTCTTGTATAATAAAGTTTATAATATCATTCTCTTTATTTGTACCTTAATATTAATGAAGAAACAAAAAAAAATAACTAAATATATTTCTCATCTTTGCAGGGAGGATTTCAGAATCAGAATCATTATTTACATACAGACCAGGTGAATCGCACGATACAATTAATAACGAGACGTTTGTCCCAAAGTTCTTGGAAGATTTAGTAGCAGAGAATCAAGGTACAGAGTTGTACTCTAATGCAGTTCAAACATGTGGGGACAACTCCCAGTGCTTGTTTGATTCTCTGGCAACAAAAGATACCAGTACAGGTGCCAATACGCTTGAAACTAACGAAGTTATTACAAACGATGTACAGGAATTAAGTAAGTGTTTTAAATAATATAAAATGTACTGTTGTATTTGAACAGTATTCGACGATAATGTATGTTCTCTCTCCCCATTTATGATTTCAAATATTTTCCCTTGTTCAATTAATTTTGCTTTATGTTTGTTTTTCTGATTATTTTATGTGCTATAGTTTGTATTAAGCGTAGTTAAGCCAAATGCACCGCATTTGTACAAGATATACAATGCATATGTTCAAATGAATAAATAAATAACCATTATTTTTTTAGAGTGTTCAATGTTTGTAGATTACCGTTTACAATGTTATATCGTTGCAGTGAATTTCCCGCCTAATATCACATTAATTGAAGACGCAGATGATGTCATAAATGGCAGCTATTTATATGCAATTGTTGGTGAGAATTACACATTTACTGTGGTTGCTACAGACGAAAACGGTGATGAAATTACGTTCTCTCTTCTGCAGCCTGTAGTTGGAGCATCGGTTGATCCAACATGTGAGTTTCTTGCTGTAATACATTAGGGATAAGCCATATTGTATACGCGTTTATTTCAGATAGGGAGATAGGCCTATACTGTATTATTTTTTATTATATGAATATAAATACATACATACATATCATAAATTTATTACATTTTTTCTAACTATAAATTTATTCGCAGCTGGGGTGTTTACGTGGACCCCACAAGATACAACTATGGTTAGAATTGGCATAGTGGCAAGTGATGGTGTAGCAAATTCTACCAGAGAATTTTTGACATTGTTATGTGACTGTAAAAATGGTGGTATATGTAAATTCGGAACAATGGATGATAACTCAGATATTTTAGATGATGGCTTTGCTGTAAGTAATGGTCAAACAAAAGAAAATACTTATGAATTGAACTTTTGAACTTGAAACATTTTTATTTTGCTATTTACGGCTATCCTAATTAGTAATGTTGAAAAATTGGAAATTATTGGTGACGTATAAAAAGTATGTTTACACAATTCTGAAGAATAAATCAGAACTGGGGCTTGCTATCTGATTTAAGGATTATTATATTATATATAATTATTATAAAAATCATGCTGTTAGTCTGCGCGTGGTGACCCTGCTACGACTGTTCCAATCAACTGATACCGGCAATTGAATTCATTATTCGCTATAGGAAGCTACATTAACACCATTGTAGCTCATGTGATTATTGAATCACACGAAAAAATGATAAAGATAGGAAACTATTAAATAAATTGAATAAAAATATAAAAGTTTAAACCGGAATATGGTATGCTAAATTTCTAACGTTTAGATAGTGTTCTTCATTGGATGTGGTCAGCGGTTGGGATGAATAGTAGTTTGTTGTCATTTATACTTATATTACATACCGCATCTTAAACCAAAGAAGAAAAGTAAGTGAAGAATGTTAATAAAGGAATTGAAGATGGTTAGCCAAAATAAAATTATTTAAATTTAGGAACACACCCGTAGTTTAATCGCAACTCACATTCTATCAATTTTTTTTTTCAGATAGCTCCATGTACATGTCACCCAGCATACACGGGAATAGATTGCAGCCAAGATTTTAATGCCTGTGCTGATGCTCCATGCTACCCAGGCGTTCTTTGTACAGATAATGTAGCACCAGATCCCAATGCTACATGTGCTAGTTGCCCATCTGGCTTAGTTGGAAATGGATTCAAGTGTTATGGTTTGTGTTACTGCTATTTATGTACCTTACGACCATCTTGGTTTAAGATGATAAACATTCCTATACTGTTTGTTTATTTAGAACAACATTATTATTTATTACTTTTTAATAATGATATACTGAAGATGGTGGTGAAAATATTATCATCATCATCATCATCATCAATGTCATCATCATCATCCCCGTAATCATCCACATCATCATCATCATCATCATCATCAACTTCATCATCAGCAACATCGTTATCATCATCATTATTATCATCATCGCCATCGTTATCGCCGTTACTGTTAATTTATATATTGTTGATTTTTGACGATTTCTAATTATACTACTACAGTACTGCGAATATTTTACTGATTTACTTACTGTATATCGATTATTGGTCATGATGTTTATACTGCTAATAATATGAAAAATGGCCATGCTCATTTAGCAATTATTAATGAAATTGTTTTCTCATCAACATTAATCCACTAGCTCCGCCCCTTCGATATTAGGGAGCTTTCGATTTGTGCGACGACGCGACGCCAGAACGGAATCACTTATGCGTGACCGTCCAACTTGACATCTCTTGGCCAAATTGCTTTCCAGAATCCACTCGACAAAGTGACTTAACATGCGCAGAGGACTTTTAATGACGTCATTACGTTCTACGCCCTACCGTCGTAGTGCAATCGAAAGCTCATTATTATAGCAAGGTCCTTAATCCACTAGCTCCGCCCCTTCGATATTATAGCAAGGTCCTACACAGTACGTAAACACGTGCGTCTATGGGACAACCCGTGTGTTTGTTGGACACGCTCCTGTTCCTAGCACTGTTCTGATTGGTCAGTTCTTAAGTTTGATTGAAACACGTACTCCGGAAATGATTTCAACTTGCTTATACTCAGATTATGACGAATGCATGGTTGATAATGCGGGTTGCGACCAGTTATGCTCCAATACTCTGGGAGGCTTTGAGTGTAGTTGTTCTGAAGGATATTCACTTCAAAATGATTTTATGTCATGTAATGGTAAGTTATAGTACATTGTAGTTTTTCTATCCCGTAAGATTAGTCATTTTTTGTTGTATTGACAAGTCGTTAACTATTTTCCTGCACTCGTGTCTCTTCTCCAAGTACAGTTAAGCGACGATATCATTTAGCACAGTCACTGTATCAATAATTTAAGTGCTGTTTATTTGCTATTCTTTTATATAGGCCTAGTTTTTTTAGTTCTGAAGTTTTAATTCAAAATATTTGCAAAGGATAGAAAACCACAAAATCGGTTTGATAATTTTTACAACACTGTAATTAAAGTCAGGCTCCGGAGGAAAAACAAATGTTGATATATTGTAGAACTGATTTTGCTAAGACAGAAAAAAGTAGTTTGATTAAAAACTGAGCAACGGTGAATAAGATACAGTTTTTAAATATTCAAAAATCTGTATCTCATTCACCGTTGCTCAGTTTTTGATCATTCTGTCTTAGAAAAATCAGTTCTACAACATAACATTTTTTTTCCTTCTGAGTCTGACTTTAAACGTATACAGTAGCCAGCTCAATTACTAAACCGTTTTGCCATATATTTATTATATGTTTTCTTAATTGCATCTTCTTCAACTTACTTAAAACTGCAAAAGTTAATCCTATCTTCAGAAAAGATTACCCTTACATTTTTAGCAACTATAGACCGATATCGTTATTACTAGGCCTATGTTTTTGAACGCCTAATTTTTAACATGATGATTTTCTTATGAAACATAGTATTATTGTCCCTACACAATAGGAAGGGTTTCTTAACGAATCTTGTTTAAATTGATATATATGATAAAATAAAGAATGCCCTTCAAAATATTGAGTGTACTGCATATATTTTTCTTGGTCTATGGAAGGCCTTTGATATCATTAATAGGCCTAATGAAATACTTATAAAAAAAAAAAAACCTTAGCATTTATGGTATCGGAGGCCTTCCTCTCAAACCTTTTACAGACTACCTCTCAAACAGTCAGCAGCTTACTTACTTTAATTCAATTGATTCTAAAATGTCTCAAGTCCCATGTGTTCCAAAGGGCCTTTACTGTGCCCTCTTTTGGTTTTACTTTATGTGAATGATTTGCCTAAATTCTCTAAAATATTATAATCCATTCTGTTTGCCGATGATACTAAAATATTTTTAATTCATAGTATCGTTATTTAAAATTATTAAAACTGAGTTTGTAAATGTTTCAAACTGCTTCAAATTAAATAAATTATCCCTCAACAATTACTACGACTAATTACATTATTTTTGGTTGTAAACGGAAACTTTCTGAAAACTTCCGTATACTATTTGATAAATATCATTTAGGCGCTTATGATTTCGTATTAAATGTTTATCTTTTCAGTGTGAAAAATATATTAAGCCACTTATGCTTTCGACTGTACTTATTATATTATTTTTAATATGTGTCTTACCACATATTTTAAACATTTTTTTTTAGCCAGGAGGCCTATACTTATAAGTTCCTGTCTCTTATACACTTCT